GGGATCTTATCTATTCACGAACAGCTTGTAACACTCCAAAGAGAAAGGAAAACTTGAAATCGCATCATATGACCCCTTTAAGGCCCTGGAAAGATTCTCTGGAGCTACTTCCAGAAAGATCTCGTTGGTGTCAGCAGACACTCCCTCCAACTGGAACTCATCAAAGAAATTCCCCTGAAACACAGAAGCATTTACAGTGCATTTAGAGCAGCTCCAAAAGCCTAAGACATTCAGTGAAACAGCTTCTATTTTGCATTCTTTTCTTTTCTAGTGCATTTTCATTCATTCTAGTAAAAAGTTGAACTGAAACATGAAGATAAATGTGAGAAAGTCTGTCATGAACTGAAGCTGACGATCACGTTGAGATGTAAGTGTGAGTTTCGGCAGTGATTCGGATCTCGTACCTGTGAGAGTTCACACTAGGGCTGAACGATACATCGCATGCGATGTTTAACGCGCATCTTATCAGTAAAGCCGGTTCTGTAATCAGCGGTAAATCCACATACTGACTCCTCCTGTAGTGATGCGACCCGACAGAACGAAGTACAGGTGATCGCAGGTGAGCAGCAGAACACACGGCTTAGTCAGTCGGGACACGGTGTTCACCACACCTGCACAGACCAACACAGACCAGACCAGCACATACCAGACCAGCACAGATCAGACCAGCACAGACCAGACCAACACAGATCAGACCAGCACATACCAGACCAGCACAGACCAGACCAACACAGATCAGACCAGCACATACCAGACCAGCACAGACCAGACCAGCACAGATCAGACCAGCACAGACCAGACCAATACATACCAGACCAACACAAGGAACAAAAGACGCTCTTTATGATTACAGATGAAATACAGTACGTCTGATTTGAAAGGCAACTTCTTCAACTCATTAAACACAAATAAACAGAATAGCTCCATCATAAGACAGAAATCAAGAATAAACATATTTAAACCCACGTGTGAAGTGATTCAGACATCCGACATCGATGATTTATCTCGGAACTTAATTTTTCGGCAGTAAATGTGATATTTGAAAACTTTGCGGAATTTTCTCTTGTTTTTGTTGATAATCATGTAAGTTTTCGCGCTGGCGGTCCAACAGAAAACTCTTCCGTCTGGAAACAAACGCCTCGTGTTTAGAGTTCCGCTGTGCTTCATGCCGCCACACGGTGGCGCTCTTACTAAAGCTTTAATCCTCCACAATAAAACTCCTGCCTCAATCTACGCTTATGTTACGAGAAGGTGTTTACATTTATTCATACTTTAACTAATATTAATATTTTATTATAGTTTTTCAGATGTTTCACACACCTTGACTTTATAATGACGCAGTACATTTGTTTATTCATCTTTCTCAGATGATTTTATTTACTGTGGTAAATAATTATTAGATAATGTAGTAAATAATTCAGAGTAAATTGCTTCAGTGATGACGATTCGCTGTTTATTAAACTTATATCACGATAAGAGAGTATTCATGGTGATATTTCATCAAGATGTTTTTAATGAGATGTTTTCGTGTGTGTGTGTGTGTGTGTGTGTGTGTGTGTGTGTATGTCCCACTAACAGCTCACCGACGCGCGATCATGAAGTAGGAGAGAGAGAGAGCGAGAGCGAGAGAGAGAGGGAGAGAGCGAGAGAGAGAGAGAAAGAAGAAACTGAAATTATGCATACCCAAATTTGTAAAAGCATCTTAGCACAGAATCTCTGAGCTCCGGATCGCTCCTCTCGCGCTCCGCTGATGGACTCATGATTATGATGATGATGATGATGAAGGTTCAGGGATGAAGAGGATGTTCAGCCGCTCCAGAATCAGTTCATCAGCCGCTGCTTCTATCGGATGTACCGGATCGATGTGTTTGATTGGATATGAATGATGAATGTGTTCAGAGATTTGAGCTGATTGAATCAAACTCGCTTCTTCACCATGGATCCGAATCTTCTCACTCTCTTCAAACTTTCTCTGATCCTCGGTGAGTGTATTTCATCTCTTTATGCCAGTTTAATATTTCAAACGCTTTTGTGTATTTATTACGAGTGTGAGGGGAAATAAATGTGTGTGTGTGTGTGATTCAGCAGATTCACACACAGATCTGAATTAAACTCATTCAGAATGTGAGACAGTGAGAATGTCCAGCAGTTCTTTCTGACCCTGATGTCCATTACTTAAAAAAAAAAAAACATTTTAACATTCAAAGTATTGTTGTTATTATTATTATTATTATTATTATTATTAAGACCATATAAATACATAAATTAATCATAGCTGTACCTCTGGAACATTTACCTTTATGTTTTTATTGCAGTTGTCAGATGTGTGACTGAAATGAGTAAATTATTGTTTTTAAAGTAAAAAGAAGCATGAAGATTTTCTTTGTGGTTTAATAATTTACACATCAAAGGGTTATGATGAGTTTTATCACTGAAACTGAAGCTCATGATTCGCTCTAAATAAGTGTTTCTCAAACCAGGTTTGTTATAATCAATTAAATCATAAAAATGTCCAATAAATGCTTTTCCAAATAAAATCAATCAAAATAAAACATTTGAAGTTAGCTGCATGTCATGTGAGCATCAGAGAATTGAAGCTCATGATTCATGTATGATCATCAGCTCATGTATGTGAAGGACGGTTATTAACTGTGAAGTTAAAGTGGGATGGCAGTGTGAACGTCTCCTGTGGAGCTCAAATACTCTCACATACTCTCAAATACTCTCACATATGCTCACATACTATTACATACTCTCAAATACTCTCACATATGCTCACATACTATTACATACTCTCAAATACTCTCACATACTCTCAAATACTCTCACATACTCTCAAATACTCTCACATACTCTCAAATACTCTCACATACTCTCAAATACTCTCACATACTCTCAAATACTCTCACATACTCTCAAATACTCTCACATACTCTCAAATACTCTCACATACTCTCAAATACTCTCACATACTCTCAAATACTCTCAAATATGCTCACATACTATCACATACTCTCACATACTCTCAAAAACTCACATACGCTCACATACTATCAAATACTCTCACATGCTCTCACATATGCTCACATACTCTCACATACGCTCACATACTCTCAAATACTCTCACATACTATCACACTATCAAATATGCTCACATACTATCACATACTCTCACATACTCTCAAATACTCTCACATATGCTCACATACTCTCACATACTCTTAAATATGCTCATATACTATCACATACTATCACATACTCTCACACTCTCAAATACGCTCACATACTATCACATACTCTCAAATACGCTCACATACTATCACATACTCTCAAATACGCTCATATAATATCACATACTCTCAAATACTCTCACATACGTTCACATACTGTCACATTCGCACACATACTCTCAAGTACTCTCACATACTCTCACATATGCTCACATACCCTCCAAAACTCTCAAATACTCTCAAATATACTCAAATACAGTCACATATGCTCACATACTCTCACTCTTAAATATTCTCACATACTATCACATACTCTCAAATACTCTCACATATGCTCACATACTATTACATACTCTCACATACTCTCAAATATGCTCACATACTATCACATACTCTCACATACTCTCAAAAACTCACATACGCTCACATACTATCAAATACTCTCACATGCTCTCACATATGCTCACATACTCTCACATACGCTCACATACTCTCAAATACTCTCACATACTATCACACTATCAAATATGCTCACATACTATCACATACTCTCACATACTCTCAAATACTCTCACATATGCTCACATACTCTCACATACGCTCACATACTCTCAAATACTCTCACATACTATCACACTATCAAATATGCTCACATACTATCACATACTCTCACATACTCTCAAATACTCTCACATATGCTCACATACTCTCACATACTCTTAAATATGCTCATATACTATCACATACTATCACATACTCTCACACTCTCAAATACGCTCACATACTATCACATACTCTCAAATACGCTCATATAATATCACATACTCTCAAATACTCTCACATACGTTCACATACTGTCACATTCGCACACATACTCTCAAGTACTCTCACATACTCTCACATATGCTCACATACCCTCAAAAACTCTCAAATACTCTCAAATATACTCAAATACAGTCACATATGCTCACATACTCTCACTCTTAAATATTCTCACATACTATCACATACTCTCAAATACTCTCACATACTATCACATACTCTCACATACTCTCAAATATGCTCACATACTATCACATACTCTCACATACTATCACATAACTCTCAAATACTCTCAAATATCACATATGCTCACATACGCTCACATACTCTCGCATACTCTCACATACTCTCACATACTCTCACATACACTCACATACTGTCACATACTCTCACATACTCTCACATACTCTCACATACTTTCACATACTATCACATACGCTCACATACTCTCACATACTCTCGCATACTCTCACATACGCTCACATACTGTCACATATACTCGCTGGAGAGCCAAAGCGTATCATTGACAAGGTTAAAGCTTTTACCCAGAGGCCCTCAGTGCTCAGACCTCCTGCTGCGATGCTGCTGCTGTTAATGAATCACACACACACACACACACACACACACACACACACAGAAGAAATCCTGATGGGACACGAGAGTCTCAGACACACTCGCGATGATGATGATGATGATGATGATGATGATGATGATGATGAGAATGAAGAGCTCTGAGTGTGTGTGTGAGGAAAATGAAATAAATCAAATAAATAATATAAAAAAATATAATAAAATACAAATAAAATAAAATCAATCAAAATAAAACTAAAAAAGATCAAGTATTTTATTAGTTTATCTGCTTGTCAATCAGAGAAACATGAACATTTAATAAATTACTGAAATATCATCTGAAAATCTCACTAAGAGTTCAGGTAAATATTCGGCTGGTGAATGATTTGTCTGATCTGATCGTGTGTCTGATCTCGGTTCTCCATCTGATTCAGTATTTGTGGTGAGGTTCAGACGTCTCCGTCTCAGTCGGGTTTGATTTTTCTGGTGTATTGTGACACACGTGGAGTTGCGCTGATGGTTTAGCAAACACACGCGTGTGCTGCCAGCGTTGTGAAAGCAGTGGTGACCCGCCGGACTCCATCATACACTCAAACACACAGATTCAGAGTAATCCTGTGTTCATGGCTGTGATGTGGACATAATCAGTAATGCTTTCACACCATGTAGTTTGAGTTGAACACTGTTTGTTGAAGACATTATTTCACTTCTCTTCTCTTCCATAGTGAATTATCACATTAATCTGAGCTGTGTGTGTCTGAGGTCATGAGCGCAGGTGCTGTCAGCCGTGAGAAGCATCCATTCGTGGACTGTATTCGTCGCTGAAGGCCGGAGCGAGCGTCTCTGATAATGAGTGACACCGGCGCTGGTGTGTTCGTGTGTTGATGAATCAGATGTGACTGACGAATCCTCCAGAACTTCTGTGTGTCTGACGCCCCTCGTCACGTTATCACCACACCTACAAAGAACAGAAAAACTACCACCACAAATAAACTCACATTGCTTAAATTAAAGTTTAACTAAATAAAACAGAATTTAAAAACAGATGTTATTTCAGCTATTTGCCAAAGCAATATTCCTCATTTTCATTTAGTTTGTCTTGATGCACTAAAATAGAAAACTGAATTAAAAATGAATAAAAACACAACAAAATGACTAAAACTTTAACTAAAATTAAATAAAAATAGAACATCAACACTAATTCTAAATATTAATAAAAACCATAGTAGTATACTAAAATATTATCTAGCCTTCAAATATTTTTCAATTAAGTAAACATTGTTTTAAAAGAGAAAAAATACTAATAAAATGAAGAGCAAAGAAACATATGAAATAAAACAAATGGCAGGTCTAATAGTTTGCATTTACACTCCGAGACTTAAAGCACAGATCTATTATGACATATCAGATTTTTAGTTTCGTCCATTTCTGTTTATCTCAATGTGAATCATCATATTTTCAGATTCAGTCCCACATTTAATTATAGTTTAATTATAGTCACTGACTAAACTTTGCAGTGTACCACATGCAGAATTATCTAACATGAATAATAAACTAAATCTTGTGAAAATCAGCTGCCATACATTATAACAGATATAGACATTCATGCATGTTTCAGTATGACAAACGTCTTGCATACAGCAGTGCATAGAAACACTGATGTGGATTCAGAAGGCTGGTATGAACACAGCTCTGTGATGTCTGTATGGAGTCTCTCAGGCTCTTCTGCTGATTACACGGCTCTTCTCCTCCAGCAGAGCATCTCAAACCCTCGATTTCCTCGAGGACGTCCCGCTAATAGAGTGACATCAGACTCCTCGAGGAGCACAGCCAACATTGATTCTGATCAGATGTGATTGTCCACCCGAGGAGCAGATTGAACACGGAAATGAGAGCGATGTTTGGCTGATTTCAGCTGCGTTAAATGGAAGCGGTGATGAACTCGCTGAAGGATCTTCACAAATATATTATCAGAAAGTCAGGAACATCGTAAAATAATACAATATATCCATGTTCTATCCATATTATACAGAAACCTCTTCTGCTCCTCTCATCGCATGTTTGCATTTGATTGAGTTTTCATCTTAAAGTTAGTAAGAGATGTGTTTGTTTAAATCAGATTCATTTTCATGCTATATAAATAATGAAAATCACTAGAAAATTCTAGTGTTGACTGGTATTTTAGGACTGATGTTTTTTTTAACCTCATCATCAATCTGTAGTTTAAACGTGTGCTGAGGTTGAATTAGTCTGGAATGATGATGGAGGAATCATCATTTATCCTTCAGTTCTGGGCTCCACTGTCTGTCTGTGTTATTTCCCATCATGCTCTCTGAAGGCAGTTTTGCCCTCTTTGACCACTGAGCTTTGACCTTTTGACCCTGCTTCACACTCTTCCACACGAGCGCCGATGTTCATCCTGTTATTGTGTCTGAGAGATGATGACCAACACATGATGAAACGACTGAAGACGATCAACACTGAAACACATCAGTGTAGGATTTGCTTTCAGACAGTTTTCACTCAGAGACTGATAGTGCAGTTCACAAATAAATACAAAGACATGGCAAGTTTTGAAGTAGACAAACTTAAATAGTATTTTCTTATAAAATGTACTCCAATAATCTTTATTTACAACTTTGAAATGTATTTTTGTAGTATGTCTAGTATAACTGTGGCCAGTTTAAACATTATACGTTCATTTACTCCGATGTGAAAGCCAGTGCTGCTGTAGTTCACTGCACTAGTAATGGCCATCGTGGGTTTGATTCACTCACTGAAGACACTCTGGATAAAAGCACCTGCTAAATGCACAGGCGTGTTTAATTAAGATCCAGCAGTGATTAACAGCAGCCTGCCGATGTTTGTGAACAAGCTGTGATTCGCGCCGACTGACATTCAGCACCGGCCCTTAAACACTAACCTGAAGTGACTGGAAGAAAATTGCGTAGGCAAATTGGACACAGTTCCATTAGGAAGTGCAAAAACACCTTTAATTTCAGATTTAATTGAGGCTGTGATCCAGCAGCACCATCAGCCACGTGTGTCAGCACACACACACACACACACACACACACACACACACACACTTTTTACTTTCTCAAAAAACTCATTCTGTATGATTTATAAGCTTGTTTCCTCACGGGGACCTCAAAAATGTCCCCACAAGGTCAAAATTTACTAGTATTACTATCCTTGTGGGGACATTTGGTCCCCATAACGTGATAAATACCAGGTACACACTCACTCTCACACACACACACACACACACAAACACACACACACACACACACACACTAATGCTGTTTTTATCATCAAATAATTACCCAGTTGAGCTTAATTACTCTCGTTGTGTTTTTGCTCTGAGTGGACGGAGCTGTTGCTATGAGAACGCACATTATAACCTCGTCAGTTCATTCGTTTTTATATAAATATCAATATGGTACAAACAAACACAGAAGTGAACAGAGGAGCAGAGATATTAACGATTCCACAAACTCTTGAATGTGAAGCTCGTTTGTGAAGAGCTCGTTTAGATGAAGCTGTTTTGTTTACTGATGAAGGTCGATCATTTATTTCAGACAGCAGAGAAACAACAGCAAGTGAATATGAGAGTCGTTTACATTCTCATCAAACAAAGCTGAACGGCTGACATTAACCCTGACATGTTAAATAATAATCAGAAAAACCTAACTTTCTGAAGTGGAACAGTCCATTGAACCTTTAGACAAAACTAAATTTAGGCCTAAATTTTTTAAGATACATCAATGAAGCAGGTCAGATTTCTGTAATAGTGCTAATAAACTGAATGTGCTTTAAATGCACAATAGCCAACTTTATATACAGTATTTATCATCAAAAAATCCAGTTTGTTTCAGTTCATTCATTGCTTGTTTCACAGGTAGTCATATTTTAACCATGTTTATAATGTAATCATTTTCACAATGAATAGACTTATGCTTATTGTAAGTAAATGCGGTTTGCAAATATGATAATTTAAATAAATGCAAATATTCATCTATGACTGACAAAAAATGAATCACATCAAGTTTATTAGTTTATGTTAAAACTGTGTAAACCAATAGGAAATTTTATGTGCAATTCAAATACATAAATGTTAAATTTAGTGCATATGTGTGTTTTGTTGCGTATCATCAGGCTTTCACATGAGCTTGAATCTTTCTCTTGTTCCGAGATCCGAGTGTGTTTGGCGTTTGACATTTACAGTGCCATTCACATCTTTTACTAGAGTACAGTGTGTCTCGTCTCTGAATGAATCACCTGAGTCAAACATTTGCTCATGTAGGTTGAGCATTTTAGTGTCTGGACCGTTTAACCCAACCCTGATCCCAGAATGCCCTGCTCCGAGCGTCTCTGTGACGATGGACAGCTTCTCCAGGGAAACTCAGCAGCTCCCAGAAGCCTTTGAGCATTATCACGGTGCTCGCGTCTGTGTCCGCATGCAGGAAACCGCTAAATTTAGCACAATAACAGTCAAGTGTTTTCAAGGCCTGAACTGGTGACACATGCAGACACGTGAGGCTCGTTCATCGGATGTCTGAACATTAGAGCCGTGCACTATATTACAAGAAATGACATGATGTTTGAACTGAACACAAGTGCAAATGTGATAATCATGCACACGTCATACTGACTTTGAATGTGCAGTTGAAGTCACTGGATCTGTTGCCTGTTTTATGGCTTTATTATCAAATATAAATGCAAGATTGTCTTTGGGAAGTTCTCAGAGATGAAGTGCCGGTGTGATGTTGTTGAGTCAGGACTCTATTGGAGACTGTATTAATGTCTCTGAACACAGTTTGAGTTGATGTGCACTCGCATGCACGTCCCGCCGTCTGTCTGCTGTGCTTAATATTCATGCGTCTCCTCAGGGACGGACTGACAGCCCTGCTGAACACCAGATCAATTCACATGCTGCTGCAGGCTGCTTTAGAAGCTGGAATAACACTGACACGCTCTTCACCAGAACAAAAGTGCTGCTCAACTCGCATGAGGATTCTGGTGAAGCTGGTTACCAAACAAGTCTCGTTGGTTGATCTAGCTGTAATTTGGATTAAAGCATCTGTATCACATATAAATGTACTTGGGTTTAAAATACAAGCATGGTTGTAAATTATTTTAAGTCAAATCGCCTTCATTTCTAGAGTTCTTTATTCAATACAGATTGTTTCAAAGCATCTTCACAGAAATAAGCAGGAAAATAACAGTGTTAATGCTGCAAAAGTATGAAACAAATTCAGTTTGAGCTATAAGCAGCTCTACAGAAGACAGTAGTAGAGTTCAGTGTTGATTTGATTCAGTTCAATAACTATGAAACGAGTTCAGTTAAAATGTGGTTCATAATAGTGTTTTGCTTACAGGTTTATTTCATATATTTGATGTATAAACAGGGATTTTTCTTTGTGACAGTCTTCATTAAACTAAAGAGAAATGATTGTACAGAATCTCAGATATGAATCCAGTTATATCTGGTTCCTAATCATGAAACTGTTTTTGTTTTAGCAGTGAACACGCTGATGACGAGAGGTTTATCAGGTGAGTGTCTCTCATGTCTCTGTCATGTCTCAGTTGTGTCAAGTCAAGTCAAGTCACCTTTATTTATATAGCGCTTTTAACAATACAGATTGTGTCAAAGCAACTGAACAGCATTAATTAGGAAAATATTGTGTCAATAATGCAGAAGGACAATAGTAAACACTCAATTTTCAGTTAAAGGCAGTTCATCATTGAATTCAGTGATGTCATCATCCAGCTCAGTTCAGTTTAAATAGTATCTGTGCAATCAAGTCGACGATATCGCTGGAAATTAAGTGTCCCCAACTAAGCAAGCCAGAGGAACCAAAACTCCATCGGTGACAGAATGGAGAAAAAACCTTGGGAGAAACCAGGCTCAGTCGGGGGACAGTTCTCCTCTGGCCAGACGAAACCAGCAGTTCAGTTCCAGGCTGCAGCGAATCAATCAGACTCAATCATGTCTCAGTCATGTCTCAGTCATGTCTCAATCATGTTTCAGTCGTGTCTCAATCATGTCTCAGTCGTGTCTCAATCATGTCTCAGTCATGTCTCAATCATGTCCCATTCGTGTCTCAATCATGCCTCAGTCGTATTTCAATCATGTCTCAGTTGTCTCAGTCATGTCTCAGTCGTGTCTCAGTTGTGTCTCAATCATGTCTCAATTGTCTCAGTCATGTCTCAGTCGTGTCTCAGTCATGTCTCAGTTGTGTCTCAATGATGTCTCAGTTGTCTCAGTCATGTCTCAGTCGTGTCTCAGTCATGTCTCAGTTGTGTCTCAATCATGTCTCAGTCGTATTTCAATCATGTCTCTTGTCTCAGTCATGTCTCAGTCGTATTTCAATCATGTCTCAGTTGTCTCAGTCATGTCTCAGTCATGTCTCAATCATGTCTCAGTCACGTCTCAATCATGTCTCAGTCGTATTTCAATCATGTCTCAGTTGTCTCAGTCATGTCTCAGTCATGTCTCAATCATGTCTCAGTCATGTCTCAATCATGTCTCAGTCATGTCTCAATCATGTCTCAGTCATGTCTCAATCATGTCTCAGTCATGTCTCAATCATGTCTCAGTCATGTCTCAATCATGTCTCAATCATGTTTTAGTCGTGTGTCAAAGTCATGTCTCAGTCATGTCTTAATCATCTCTCAATTGTGTCTCAGTTGAGTCTCAGTCGTGTCTCTGTCGTGTCTCTCAGCATGTGGACTGACGCTCTGTCTCTGCCATGTTTTAATCATGTCTCAGTCGTGTCTCAATCATGTCTCAGTCATGTCTCAATCATGTCCCATTCGTGTCTCAATCATGCCTCAGTCGTATTTCAATCATGTCTCAGTTGTCTCAGTCATGTCTCAGTCGTGTCTCAGTTGTGTCTCAATCATGTCTCAATTGTCTCAGTCATGTCTCAGTCGTGTCTCAGTCATGTCTCAGTTGTGTCTCAATGATGTCTCAGTTGTCTCAGTCATGTCTCAGTCGTGTCTCAGTCATGTCTCAGTTGTGTCTCAATCATGTCTCAGTCGTATTTCAATCATGTCTCTTGTCTCAGTCATGTCTCAGTCGTATTTCAATCATGTCTCAGTTGTCTCAGTCATGTCTCAATCGTGTCTCAGTCATGTCTCAGTCATATTTCAATCATGTCTCAGTCGTATTTCAATCATGTCTCAATCATGTCTCAGTCGTATTTCAATCATGTTTCAGTTGTGTCTCTCAGCATGTGGACTGACGCTCTGTCTCTTCAGACGCAGACGGCGTTGATCTGTTGTTCACCCAGCGGCCGTGGCTCCTGCAGTGCAATCAGACGCTCCTGCTGCTGGAGATGGAGAGATGCGGAGAACAATTCAGTATCGACATGAATCGTGTTCATCCTGACGACAGATGCAACCTCACACACTTCATCAGGTGAATCACCATCCTCATCATCATCACAGTCAACTCACAGAAACTCAGTCAACACCACTTTACTTTCCAATACAAATACAAAAGTCAGTCATCTCAATGAGTCCAGCTTAATTAAACCTTAACGAGTCTTTGTGTGTGTGTGTGTGTGTGTGTGTGTGTGTGTCCTTTTCAATTCATGTCAAGTCACATTTATTTCTACAGCACTTTATACAATCCAGATTGATTCAAACCAGCTTCACAGTAATAAACAGGAAAATAATGTTAATGTTCATCAGTTCATCAAATCCAATTTCAGCTGTAAAAAAGCTCTACAGAAGACAATCGTGTCATTATCCAGATCAATTCAGTTCAACATTTCTGATTGAAGTAATTGAGTGTAATGAGATGCTTCCCGTCACAGCACTTTTATAAGGCTGATCAAAGTATCTGGATCATCATCCGCTCAAATATGATGAATGATGCGACAATTACTAGTTGAGTAGTTAAAGCGGTTCTCACAGACTCAATGATCTGCTGCGTGTGTTTGTAAACTCTCCGCTGTGATTGATGAATCTGCGAACTGCAGATGTTTGCTCTTGAAGACGTTCCAGGAACTCGCAGTTCATTCTGACATGATCTTGAGCTCCTTCCAGAGACTCGAGGAGCGTTTGACACTCGTCAGCCGGTCAGGAGATGCTGACCTGCGTCACCCTTCATAAACCGGAAGCACAAACACGTCCTCAACACTGTTTACATATTTATCTGGAACAGAAGCCAGCATTCACTCTCGAGATGATAGTGACCCTTCACATGTCCAGATCAGCTCATGTCTTCAGCTATGAAGAAAACTAACAGCATTTATTCAAAATATGGCGAAACCAGTGTGTTTTCATGCACTACTCAGTTTTTGCTTCCATATCATGTCTCTTCTTTCAGACTAGTGGAAAGAAAACGTCCAAAACACACATTTAAGTGTTAATTTTATTGCACTTCATCTGTTTGCGTCTGTAGATTTCAATCTCAATCCATATCTTTAAAGAGTTTTTTCTCTAACATACACCAAACTTTTATTCCTCTCTACTGTATATTCTGAAGGTTTGTTCATATTTCATTCACACTTATTTATACAACATTTTACTCCTAAAAACATGGTGAAAATGTGTTTGTTTTCTGTCTGTTGATAGTATTTTATGGTTTATGGAGTGATGAAAAGAGAAATCCAAAATCCCCTCTGGAAAAACTTTGAACTCTAATCATAATCAAACAATAATTATGAACATGACTTTATCCGATGTTCAGATATATGTTCTGGAAATGTATGCAAATTAGTACATATTTCATTAGGGTTTCATTAGGGTTTGAGCTGGTGAACATCAGTGACCCACGACTCACTCCCACACCATTAGGTTCACCGCTGGACGCTTTCTTAAGATGTACGATTAGACGGGTCACAACATGAACCCAATTACTGAGATCCTGAGCGGGACTGTTTTGCCAGACCTCTGGAGGAAAGAGCCTGCAGGCATCAGCAGGGACCAATCACGGCTCACACACAGCCGCTCGTTTGCATATTAATCACAGGAAACCTTCATGAACCTCTTTAACTTAATTTATTCAGGTCCAGCATTTCTCTAGAGATTCACCTGCTCAAACGCGTCTGGTCTGGTGGAGGTTTTTCTCCATGATAACATCAGCAGATGGAACAGCAGGTGTGTTTTGCTGAAGATGGTTGCTGATGTCAGATAGCAAGCGCTTCGGTCCCTGATGAGCACTTTACTAAAGGCTGATAAGATCACATGACCAACAGAGATTCAGCGACGACGGCGCTAATGGACTCTGAACACACCGACGGCACATGAGTGGTGCTGATCGTCACACACACACACACACACACACACTCTTGTTGTGTTTCCATGTTTTATGGGGACATTCCATAGGCGTAATGGTTTTTATACTGTACAAACTGTATGTGCTATTGCCCTACACCAACCCTACCCCTAAACCTACCCCTTACAGGAAACTTTGTGCATTTTTACTTTCTCAAAAAAACGAATTCTGTATGATTTATAAGCTTGTTTCCTCATCACACAAAACTACAGGCATTTTTAGATTCTCAAAACACTTGTTTCCTCATGGGCACCAAAAAAAATGTCCCCACAAGGACAAAATGTACTGGAATTACTATACTTTTGGGCCCTTTAACTTAGGGAATACCGAGACCCGACACACTCACTCACTCACTCACTCACTCGTATTTTACACTAAAATCAGAATAAATTAATTTTCATAAAGAAAACAAAGCCTGTTTGTAAGGCCATCAAAGTCTTTTATATTCATATCAAACTCATAAATACTGTATTGTTGTATTGTATTGTTTACATGCAAATGAGGCATTATCTAATTAAATATGCACTAATTTGCATGAATTTACTGAACATAAATCTAAACATTGTATAAAGTCAGGTTCATAATTCCTGCTAAATTTTCTGGTCATTATTAGAGTTCAAGGTTTCTCAGAGGGGATTCACTCCATAAATCAGAAAATACTGCATCTTCAGGATCCTCAGAATCAGGCTTCATGTCCATCAAGCAGTATTAATGTCTTGTGTCTTGGATGTCGATCAGGAGTATTGAGGACGAGTATTGTGTTGTGTACTATGATGTAAACTCTGTTCATCTGCGTCCCCGTGAAGATGAAGAGGAAGGAGCGTTATTAGCGCTATAAAGCTCTGCGCTCATGTCACGGGACAGGTTCATTTGAAAAGCCTCATTAAATGCTGAATATGAGCCGTTCCTGAAGGAAACGACTGATCCGCTGATTGCCTGAATTTCTCCATGAGATGAATAATAACGTGAGTTTCTGCTTGTCTCCTCAGAGAGTATCACGTCTTCTCCTTCTGCACGGAGATGAACGCCGAGCGTATCGGCTGCTTCTGGCCGAACCCAGCGGTGGAGCGCTTCATCATCAGCATCCACAAGCACTTCTTCTCCAACTGCAGCCTGGAGCACGTGGTGTTGGTCGACCCGCCGGACGACACGCTCACCCTCCTCATCCTCGTGCCCGTCTTCCTCACGCTGGCCATGGTGGTGCTGGTGGTGTGGTGCAGCAAGCGGAGCGACATCCTCGCCTAGCCTGCGCTGGACCTTCACGATGCTGATGGACCTTGAAGAGGAGAACCGGTCAGACGTGATCTCACTGAAGAGGAGCTCATGCTCATCTCCTTCAGAAGCTGGAGGCTTTATTCCTCGTCTCGCTGCGATCACTGATGCTGAATTAATTCAGTGTTAATAGAGAGCGTGAGTGAAGATCTGTCAGGATCTCTGGACGGACCAAATTAATCATGTACTGTACAGCTATTATTTAATGTTTTAATTAAATAACGTAGATTTAGAGCATTTGTCAAGCTCACACTGCCGTGTTTGTGGTTTTTGTTGAGGCTCTCATCACTCAGTTTGACCGTTCGTTATCATCTCGACATAATTGCTGGTTCATTTATCAGCCAGTGATTTCAGCTTTGGCTTGCAGGAGAATCCTGCACCTGTTATTGAGAAGATGAAGACGTTCCTGCGAAACAAAAAGGATTGGTTCAGACTAAAGCGGGACGTGTACGAATGAGAATCTGGTGAGAACGGCCCTCCACGCAGCCAGCGAGGCTGGTTTTAGGATGACGGTATTATTTATATGAGAAGGAAAGCCGTGCATTGTGTGTGACTTAGAGATACAAACAAAAGACAATAGTTGCTCTCAAGCGCCTGGCCTCGTGTTCTGCAGAAGAGCCGTGCAGAGCCAGAGCCGCTCGCGCCGCAGGAAGGATATACAAGACTTTCCCAGCGCAGCCGATGAATGAGAGGAAATGGGCTGGTTATGATTTTCACCAAAAGAGCTACAGGAACCGCTGCCGTGTTCCCCAAACGTGTTCTGATGGAGAACCAAACGCAGAGATGATGATCGTCTGTGTGCGTCGTCTCGTCAGTCTGCAGTATAGCTTCGTCTCCTGTGCAGAACAGCAGCCTGCATTTATGATTTATGTATTTGAATTGCATTTTAAAAATTTCCATCGATTTGGATTTCACAGTTTTAACCTAAACGAACTAATAAACTTAAAGTAATGCATATTTCTCAGTCATACAGCATTGAAACGTCTGCACTCAAGAAATCATGAACTATTCGCATCTATTTGATTTTCTTTAAGTAGTCATTTTAAAAATGAATTCATTCAAATGTCTTAGAATCAGTTTAAATCTGTTCATTGTGAAAACAATTAATTTAAATAATCAGTTTAAAACAATAACGGTGAAACAAGCAATGAATGAACCTAAACAAACTGGATTTATTGATGATAAAGCTGGTTATTGTGTATTTAAATCACATTGAGTTTATTAACACTATTACAGAAATCTGACCTGCTTCATTGATGTATGACTGACAGATATCATCACATTGAGTTTGTTAGTTTAAGTTAAAACTGAGCAGTCGAAATGGATGGAAATGTATAAGCAATTCAAATGCATAAATATTAAATTTAGGCCTGAATCTGTGTCCTCATATATAAATATATTCCTGTATGTCTGTGTGTTTTGTTCCGATCAGGTCTGAGTCGACGGTCTGTTTCTCTGTTCTCAGTGTATTATTGGAAGTCGCCTTGAGAGTCCATTGAGATGTTTTCAGTGCCTCCAGCGCTCACTTCCTGTTTACTTTAGAAATCCCACACTACTAAAGTTCACGCAGAAGCACAACGGAGCTAAGTTTAACTGGACGCACAGATTTCCATCACATGAGCGTTTCTTCCATCGTCCCGCTGCGGACGTGATGTTCATCTGGAACACAGAATAAATCAGAGATTCTTTCCTG